TAATTCTGGAAATTTAAATTAATCAAATCCCTTAATATGATACAGAAATCAAGGAGTGTATCTATGTTTGATTTATTTTATTTTATTATTATTTGAAATAATAAATTTATTAATATTATTAGTAAAGACAAAAACATGTATATCTTGGTCAGGTAATTTGATTAATTTCGTTTTATTATTCTTAAAATAATAAATTCATTAATTTGATTTATCTATTATCGATATATGATGTATCCAACAAACTAAACACTTAAATATATGAGTATCATACAAGTACATTCATATGTATCATAGAAGTATCTGATATTGATTCGTGTATTTGTTATATGTGTTTAGTATTAATTTCACGTATCTATTTATATGATATAATATTAATCTCATATATCTATTTATATGATCTAATATTAATTTCATATATCTATTTATATGATCTAATATTAATTTCATGTATCTATTTATACAATATAATTTTAATTTCATGTATCTAGTATTAATTTGATGTATAAAGTATCAATTTCATACATCATATTCAAAAGCATGTATCTCGGATACATAGTAAGTATATTCATATAACTGTGTGTATCTAAATATGAAATGTTACTAAAACACATGAATTTATAAACAAATCATGACTATAGAGTATATGTCTAATAATTAATTAAAAAAAGTAAAAAAAATCAAACTTTTTCCTTTTTTTAGCATCTGAATGTTTTTCTCATAGATACATATAATCTTAACTCAGATACATGAACTCTTAACTAGATACATGTACACCTGATGTTATCTAACATTGTTGCGCTTGATGTGTATCTAATGTTGTATTTGTTCTGCTAATTAAAGTTTGACATAATCCTTCCAACTTGATGAAGTCATTTCTATACTTAGATCTATTCTCGACTTGAATGTTGTCGGATGAAGAGTCAATCTCGGCAATGAGAAATTCGTTAGTGAAAATAAACAAATAAAAGTCTGATTTAGTATAGTATTGTTAATGTATATTACCTTTTACAAGAATCATCCGATTTTAGGAATGATCAACTATTAATGTGCTTGAGAAACATTAAAATAAAAAAATATAAAACCTTATTTGTAAAACTTTTAAAAATTGAGCTTCATAACATTATGAACTTTAACTGAGATACAAAACCAAGATACATGAAAATATAATTATCCAATATTATATTTAAGGGGTTTGTTTATGTGATTAAATTTTTTAAAAATATATGATATAAATATTAAAAGTAATAGTAAGTGTAATTAGTTTAAACCAGAGATAAATATAGTATATATATGATAATAATAATAATATACATTTAGTTAGATAGTTTTGCCCTTATTTTAGTTTGATCTTATCCGCATATTTAATAGGTTGCCATGAGGCAGGCGAGACCAAAAGTATTTGACAGTTTATGTTGTTTGTTGTTTGGGCTTAGAAGATGAAAGGGTTGTCACCATCGAGTGGCCCAATAACAGCTTAATGCCATTATTTGATATGTTCACCTTTAGTCCTTGTTGGTATTTTTTCTACAGTTTTAAAATAAAACTAGCTATTCCTGACAAAATTGCCTTACGTTGCTACCTTGTTTCACTTACTCTCTTTCTAATATTTGTGATGTTATAAATTGTCATCTTACGAAACGCATTAATAGAATCCGAATCGTAATACAGTTAAACAAATAAACCCGGATATTCTTAAGAGATGCAAAATATTTTTCTCTATGATAAATTCTAACCACCGTCATGTAACGTGAAACAGATTTATTTTCTTAGCCCATAACGATACCAGGATTAAAGTTAAATAGAAAGACAAGCTACTGGGTAACGCTAATAACCGGTTATGATTAATTTTTTAAGAAAAACATTAACCCGTTATGAATAGTCTCAACCTCATGGATTTTACCAATAGTGTAATTTTACTGTATCAAATTCAATATTTGAAATTTTACCAACATGAAGTATCAAATTATGAAACTTGATCCGAGCATCACCAATGTGGGGTAGGAAACAAAAGAAAAAAACCATAGAGATTCCTACAGCGGAGACAAATTTTATTTTTGAAACAGATCCAGTGATTAAGATAGTTCATTATTTTTACCATTAGTCTGATTCTATCTTTTTTTGACAAATTTATAGCAAGGATAAATACAACAAATTCACATGACAATATTCATTTATTAATCACATGAGTTCACTACAAGGAAAATTACAGAAAACATACTATAAAAACATGGAACGGCACTCACAACATACAACCTTACAAAGTAGACACACAGACAATTTATTTTATGCAAAAAAATTGCAATCCTTAATAATTACTTAAAAGTTTATCTATGTTTATTTATCTTCAATTTCAATTAATTTGGAGAAAGGTTTTTTGACTTGTTGTTTAGGGACAGTAACAATAAGGACACCATTTTCCATGGATGCCTTGAGTTGATGTGCCTCTATATTTTGTGGAAGACTAAACTTTCTGCAGAAATCCCCTCTGTTACGTTCCACTCTATGCCACTTCACATCTAATTTCTTCGTCTCATCATTTTCATCAACTAATTCTTCTTCTTCTGCTTTCCACTTTCCACTAATTTTCACTACTCTTCCATTGTCCACTTCCACTTTCACATCCTCTTTGCTAAGCCCTGTATGTTACCAACAATATAATTAAATATGTCCTCTTTCAAACAATTTATACTCTATTATAATACAAAAATCACAAAATAATTTAATTTCAAAATTCACCAATGCTGCAAGTTGAGGCTGAGGTTGGTTATATATACATACATGTTCAAATTTTACTGTTGTGCTCAAGTCAAAAATTATATGGTTACACAAATTAGAAGTATATGCCATAGAAGTAGTCCAAAAACATATATAGCTCAATCAATCCGTCCAAATTTGGATTAACTACTGACTCATTCATTTATTAGCTCAACCAATTTTAGCCAAATCCATTAAAAATTAAGTTGATATTTATTCAGTAAATCTATTTTAACTCGTTTAAATTAATACCTGGAAGGTCGACGAAGAAGCAATGAGCTTGAGGCGTTTAAATTAATACCTGGAAGGTCGACGAAGAAGCAATGAGCTTGAGGTGTTTCTTTCCAGTCAATTGGAGTACTCAAAACAGGACACATATTCATCATCCCAACAATTGGATCACTGCTCCTCAATAAGCTGCACATATTTGACATCTTCTTTTTCACACTTAAATTAACTAATTAATTGTACTTCTTTCTCTGTCTGTGGAATAAGTGAAACTTTGCACAAGTATATATAGTGGGTGAAAAAAGACGGTTCAAATTGGTCTTGAAACTTCTTGACGTGGAAAAAAGAAAAACATCTAGCATGTTCATTTATAAATAATAAAAAATACTGTTTGGATCATTCTAAAAGCTTCCATCTTCTACTAGTACTCGTATTGAGTATTAGGAGGTACTACCACTTTCATCTTATTGATCCATTAAACTGCCACGTGTACAACTTCTCAAGAACTGCTTCTTTTGATTAAAGAAGTAAAAAAATAAAGAAAGAAAAAGAGTCCTTTGCAAAATGACATGTTTTATTTTTCTGCTAATTGGTGGAGTAGTATATTTATTTCTTTCATTCAAAAATCTATAAGTTTGAAGTATATAGCAAAAGGCTCATTTGAATTCAAATATTATTCTCTGAGTTCTTGATTCATCAGAAAATATGACGCAAACTTTACATGCTTATGTTTCTTCTTTGAGTAAAATTTTAGGAATAACAAATATAAAAATCATATTGACGCTCTATAACTATAATTTTGTTATTTGTGTTTTATAGGAAACATAGTTTGCTATGTAGTATCTAATTTGTATAAGTTGCAGCGATTGGTATAAATCAGATGTTTGTGTATATGAAAATTGCATTTGTACATGTATATGTTCTTTGTGTTAGGCTAGAGTGGCGAGCTAGATTAAGAGAGAGGAGAGAGATGAATTGTACATGTATATCGGTTAGATAATTGTATATATGTAACTATTATGTATATGTATCAATGATTGTGTTTGTATATCTGCATAAAATTTGAATTTGTATACAATTGAATCGAGCTAAAATATTTGTAATTTTGTATAACGCGAGAGAGAGAAAGAAAGACAAAAGAGAACTGGGCAGGGGAAGATTTGTATTAGTACAATTATAAGTGAATAGGACGGAGAAATATGTATTTGTATTTGTATATATAATCTCTCTCGCTTTATACTAACACAAACACAATTTATACAGTTTTGTTAGTATAAAAGTAAGAGAGGCGACGGAGAGAATTGAGAGTGGCGAGCAAGAATCATGGGAGAGAGGCGAAAATAACAATGTGTTTGCTATAAATTAGAATTAATTGAAACTTTAGCTACATAATTTATTTTTATGATCGAAATTATTAATGTTAGAAATATCAATGAAAAATAAAATATAGATCCATGAAATAGATGAATGTTAAGGAGCGTCACCGGTTGATGCTTTAGTATATAAGTCAGGATAATTAAGTGCAATCTTATCCCTATATCTTTAGTAAAAGACCATTTTCGATAACCCTCAGCGAAAAAATCGTGTATTTGAAAATTACAAAGTTTTAGAAGTTTAAGGAGGTGAAGCCTACTCTATCGAGAAAAAAATAGATTAAAATATAAAACAGAGAAAATGAAGGGAGTATAGGTGAAAGCTTACGTATATATAAATACAGATGCTTGCAAATGGTTCTTAACGTCTTGTCCCATTGATTAGTTTTTAAAGGAAAAAAAAAAATACTACAATTTTGGTACAATATAGTTTTGAAATGGTCACTTTCACTTACAACTACAAAATACAAATAATATAAATCATAATAAAGTGCAATAAAAGGAGGCCCTGCATCCATTAATTTCAGTGTTAATGACAAAACAGTCAAAGAACTTTTTGCTATTTTCCCTCTTGAGAAAGCTAACAATATTTTATCTGAACAAATTGAACTCTTACATATCTCTGCATTTTCCCATTTATGTGCCCTCATACTTCCAATTTAGGAGTAGAATATTATTTCATTGATTGACAAGAGCTCCTTTGCGTATGCTTCTCCTTATAACAGTATATATATCAAAACTACAATACACATACTGCTTTCCATTTCCAACACATTTTACTTCTTCAATTGAGGTAAAAAACACACTTCAATCCCTCTTAACAAATCTCCCCTGCAAAATTATAAGACAATTTGCTAACGACAAGACATGAATGGGCTAAAACTTTATTTATGTCACGAACATTAACAATATTAATGTAAGTACCTTAACGCGAGGGCGTTTTTCAGCGTTGAGCTTGCGAACTTGATATCGGATAGTTTTAGAGAAGAGTCTGTTCTGTCTCTTCTCTTTGTACCTCATTACACTCGCCTCTCTTCGTCCCGCCTTCATATCCTCATCCTCTACTTCTCTTTCTTCATTTCCAATTACTTCTGGTACTCTATACACAACTGAACTGCTACTCATAAGTTGCCCCTATACAAATCACAATGTTGTCCTTTGAATTAGCTATTTCATTTTGTCATGTTTAATACAATCATGAAACAACATCTTTTAATTTGAATCGAGAAATCCACAAATGACACAATATTTGAAACTCTATGCGTAATAGGATTGTCACTCCAGTACCACCATAAAGTTTGAACTATATTGTTTGTCTACTTCACACATCACAGGTTGTGTTCTTACTGCTAGCACAAAATCATGCAAGTTTATTTTGTGTATCATTATTACATGAAACAAGTTTAAAGTCTTTCTAAATTATATTTTAATTTTAAGCCACTAATTTTGTTGAACTGCCATAATGGAAAGGACTAAAAAAAAATGACTATCTAGTACTGAAAGAGGCAATTATGGAGTTGTGAGACAAAAATTCACATGTGTTTTAATAAGTTTTCACGGAGAGCTACAATTCCTTACTGAATGGTTGATGGAGGTGTAGCCTACAGCTTGCAGACGAATAAAGACAGGAAAAAGTTTGAGCAAATTAAGTAAAAGCTAGCCCCACGACGGTCAGGACAATTCAAATGCTCAGCACTTAACATTAACATCTATCGACCCACCACTTTCACCTAAGATTTAACCATGACATTAACTACTCCTTTTGTAAATAATTCTCATGTGATACTCGATGTATTTATTAATTGGTAGGAGGCACTAATACTTACCCCAGTAAAAAGAAAAACGAAAGAACTTTACTCTATTTGATGCAAACATCCAAAAAAAAGAAAATTAAAAACAATCTGCAAAAGCTATAGTAAGAACAAAACAGGGATTCTCATTGGCCAGAAGAAAGAGAAACTCATACATAAAGTTGAAATTGCCTCGAGGATGGAAGTAAGCTCATTTCAGCCAATTATATTACTGCTATCTCTTTTGCAAAATTAAAGTTTCAATGGAACATTTTTCTAAGTCAAATTAAAGCATTTCCCGAGTCACAGATCTACGGTAAACAATTTCTTTATCTAAACAAAGATAAGATTTGTATACATTCAATTTTTCTACTCTCGCCAAAGTGGGATTACTATGAATGTGTATGTTATAAATTAAAGCATTTTCTATAATACACAATTATATATCAACGGGTTTAAGTTATTTACCCTAAATCACACCCTCTATATCATAGCAGGTAATTAGATATCAATTAATATCTTAAATTAATTATTAATCAATGCTTATTAAATAAATTACCGGCAATTTTTCTTTTGTGTGTGTGTATTAGATAGTGAAATATCAATATTTCATGTTGAATAGTTTCGACATTACATTATGTTTGGGTATAAAAGGTTATCCTTTCCTCAATTTGTGATAACCTAAAGATACCATCCCTTTCCGATATCTTAATTCCTCATCTTCTCTTTTTAATAACTACTTTTAAAAAGTGTAAGATTAATGTTACTTGTAATTATCGTTTAAATGACCTGATAGCATAAATTTAAAAGTAAGGTAAGAAAAACTAACATTTAATGAAAAAGGCATGTCGTAGGCGAGAAAATCGTCATGGATGTCCGGAACGATCTGGGGGGACTCGGACTGAAGGTAAAGTGGACCTTTATCGGACCAAGCATTCAATATTTCGTCATAATCAAGCTTTAGTGACAATTGTTGTTGATGTTTGTTCCACGGACAACTACTTACTTCTTCATCCTTCCTCGTACTCTCACTATGTTGATCGAAATCAACAACATCCGAGTAAACAACCCATTTCTCTTCTTCCCTGTGTTCCCTCTCTTTGCTCCTTAGAGCCGTCCGTACAAGCTCACCTTCTTGTCCTCTATAACACAAAATTAACTCAGTAACCCGCTCAAGTATTGGGTCAATCCAACAATATTCAAAATGCAACACAAAATTAACAAATCTAAAATTTAAAAAATATGTGAATTTAAAAAGAAGTCATATTGGTCGAGTTTAATTATGACCTGTAAATCCATCCTTACTCGATCTATTTAATTTAATTTCGAGTAGAAAAAATGGCACCTGTACCTGTAAGTGTCGGCAAATGTGAGGCTCGCCTCCGATGACGAAACTGTCATGTAAGTACTTATGTTGCTGTCAATTTCATCCTTTGAAGAAACGAGAACTTCGTTGAGTGTAGTGGCGCTGTTTTCAGCGCCAGCAAAGAAGAGAGCTACGTTCTCATCTTGGGCAGTACTAGTACTGTCTTTATCATCTACCAAATTTTCTGGGTGCAGTGGGAAGAGATTGAGCTGATCATGTGTGCTACCGTTCGATGGTGAAACAATCATATGATCTGACGGTTTCTCCGATAGCTCGAGACTTAGGCTCAGGAACTTTGGTTTCCTGCGCTTCAGCTTGTTTCGGGTTTTGGATTTACGATTCTTTGGTGTGACGGACCGGCATCCGGCATCGGACATATGCATAATAACAACAATAATAATCAGATCACTTCACTGTATTGGTTTTTTTTACAACACTACTCAACAAAAGTGTAATGTTTGTAGGGAAGACTTGTCAATATTATTTTGATGATGCTTTTGGTGATTGATCAACAGCAGAAAGGTCAGTGTCGCACTTTTTGACACGTGGAGCTCGTTGATTGGACATGAATGAAGATTGTGTTGTTATCTGGATTGCATTGCTGCTGGTGCCTTCAGATATTTATTTTTTGGAGAGGTAAATAATTGAGTATTCTCGTGATTGAATTTAAGATCACACCTAATTGCTCTATTAGTTGGCAACTCTTAAATTTGGTCTTTAAGAAGCCATTGCAAATCAGTGATCAATGAAAAAATTAGCTACTTTTTTATTTCTTTTTTGACCACGGTTAAAACGAATAGAGAATTTAAAAATGAATATTTAATCATGGTTTCAAACATTACACTATGGTCTAATATTTTGTCGATAAGCTTGAGAGCAAATATTAGACAATAGTCTGACTTTGTCCGCAAAGGTAATTTTTCCAAGGACTATACTTGCACAACAAAGTAGAAAGGGTTATTAGTGTAAATCAGCCAATTAGTTGGTTCCAGTTTCCAGCCCAAAACTTTAAAGGCCCATATAGGAATCATAGGGCTATAGAGCATCGTCTCAATGCCCACGCCCAGACATCGGCTCTTTTTACCAGCCCATAACTTTAGAAAACCCATGTCTCAAATTTTAAAATGTGGAGTAACATTTTTCTTTCTTACTTTCTCCGTTTTTTTAAAAAAATGACCTAGTTTACCGACTACAATTTTATTTAGCTTGTCTACAGACGATTGATGTAAAATCAGTTTCTTTTAAAAAGTGTTATTAAAAAAATATTTTTTGGTGAGAAATAACTTGTGTTTTTACCTCTACAAATTTGATGACTTAAGTTGATCTACTCTAATTATAGCTTCAAGATTAGTTAAATTAACACTTAATAAAATTAGATTCAATGAATGATGAAGATATGATAATAAAACTTTGCAATTCCTAATTACGTTTATTAACGTCTAGAAAAGAGTTAGTTAGGACAGTACATATGCATATATAGTAACGGTATCTAATTATAAATCTGTTTTGCATTCTCTACATAGTAATTCATTCACTCTTTAAAGTCAGTATCTTCCCCGTGGCCTGTGGGAGAAAATGAAGACTCTACACTTTGAAGTTTGAATTATAGTTGTTTTTCCAAGTAGGCTTAAGAAAGTCTTATGCATCTATATCTATGTTTTGATTTCCTGAATTTAACACCCGTTGATGGTTCTACATTTTTTGTTTTATGGCCAATTTTTAAAAAATAGTATTACGTTGAACTTATTAAAATAAAATATATGGTTATTATATTTAAATTGTAACGGGTTATATTGGATCATTTTCTTCGTTAATCTACATTCAATTAAAAAAAGGAGAAATTACGCAAATATTCCATAAAAGCAAAATAATTACAAACATATACCCGACTAAATAATTATACTATATACCCCATCTAATACTATATTGATATCATTTAGACTGATAATTTCACTTAATTGATATATGTATATATATATAGTATCATTGACTAATAAGTAATTCCTGAACAAGAAACCTTAATAATACCACAACAATATACATATATTCTTATAAGATCATTGACTAATGAGTAATTTCTGAACAAAAAGCTTTAATGATACAAGTACAGTATATATATTCTGATTTAATATCAGCTAAACGAAATTATCAACTTTAATGATATCAATACAATATATGATATTAATTTAGTATCCGTTAAGCGAAAATTATTAGCTTTAATGAATTGGGGTATGGGCTATAAAATTTTTGTTTTGAAAGAACCAGTATTTCTTGAATTATTATGTATTGGAGTATGACACATGTAATTATTTGAGTTTTACGACCCATTTATTTAGTTTTTTCCCTAAAAATTTGAAAAAGATTCTAAGGGAACTTATTTAATCTAAGACCTTCTACTTTCAAGATTCATGACATTGTCCGGACATCCATTAGTAATGTCAAATTTAGTACTCTCAATTTCAAATTAATTGAATTGTTGAGAAATTTTTTATTTTTTGATTTAGCTTAATTGTTCAGTTTTCAAGGCTATTTTTAGAGTGTTCTTCCAATTTTACCCTTCATTAGTTAGTAATGGAATTAGTGATTAATTAATAATTAGTTATTTTAATCATAAATTTGACAATAATTAATAAGGATAAAAATGGAAAATTATGCCTAATTTATGTCTTTAACCTTCTTTCCTTAAATGATGTGAAACACCTCAACTATTTAATTAATTTAAAATGGAGGAAGTACATGAAAAAAAGTATAATTTTCAATTTGTTCAAGTTTAGGTAGATTGGATTTGAAATAGGTCCATTCCTATTTCCTAATTAAAGATGTGGATTAACTTGAATCCTCCAAGTAGTCTAAATCAACTCGACTTATTAAAATAGAGAATAGTAAAAGGATATGTGGGGCCTGAACTTGTAGAATTGGTGCATGTCAACTAACCGATAATTTTGACTTATGCTCTTACTTTAACTTCAAACGGTACATACTGTCTGTATCTTTATTAACATAAAGATAAAAACCTTATTTTTTACCTTTGATATAATTTGGCTGAAAAGGAATTAGGAAAGCATAACCGTCCAATATTTCTATAAAAAAAAAAGCAGTCACGAAAACTTATCATGTGGTCGTTAATGTTGAATGTTGACTATAATGAACTTAGGGGTCATTTGGTGTGAAGGATGAAGAGAGTTAATCCTAGGATAAATTTTAAGTAGCTTTTAATCTCTTGTTTGGTTGTAAAGCCTGAAATAACTTATTCCAGGATTAATAATTAGTACTGGGATAATTATTCCTCCACTTGGGTGGTATAGTAATACCGGGATAACTTCTCCAGGGATAAGATACATAAATGACAAATATATCCCTTTATATTCTATTTATACCTCACTTTTCACATTTATGTATAACTATTTTTGAAAGTCTTCAACCTCCTTAATCTTAGATAATTCTTTTACAAAAAAAAAAAAAAACTCATTACTAAAAAAATATATATTATGTAATGCAAAATCATAGTACATATCTTATTATAAATTTGTTTTTTCACTAAACAAAAATATTAGCACATGTCCTCCCGATCCCCCACTCCCCCTCCAATATTATTTTTAATATCATGTATAATAATATTCACTACTCCTTATTTTTATGATAATTTTTCATATGTTTCTATTAAAAATTACACTATATAAATATAGTTTTTATTTATGAGTATATTTGACTAATTCTTATGTTTATTTATATTTTTTGATTTCTTACAAATCCTCTTTTACTTTAACAAACTTAAGATGAAAATTCTATTTTTAAGCTAAATAAGAAAAAGAAAATCAATACATACATACGGTACCATAGTGGGAATGCACACACAAAAATATTTAAACTAAATAAGATGCAAGTTTTATATTAAAAAAAATGAATAATTAAAGCTTGCAAAGAAACTATAAAAAACTAAATAAAGTGAAGGGTAATTTTGTAAACAAATAACTTGTTCTTAAAATTTATGCAATACATATTATTTTGAATACAACAAACCAAACACTCAATAAAAAATAACCTCAGCATAACTTATCCCATCATAACTAATCTCATCATAACTTGTTTTCAAACCAAACGACCCCTTAGTTTTGTTTTTATGTGGGATTATTTGTTGCTCAAAAAAACCAAAATGTTTTCTGAATAACCATAGTTCATTAAAATGGATTTTTTAAACCGAATCAATTATAACTATAGAGAAAAAACTAAATAAAGTGTTTAAAACAGAGCAAAATAAAGCAGTCAATAATCACACACAAAACAGAAAATTTACTTTTTGTCGTGAATTTGGTTCTATAGCACCATTCCTTAATTGATGGGAAAAATACCACTTATTTCGGTCCCCAAGGGTTCAACAATATACTTGAAAAAAAGAGAGTTACTGTTCTCTTTTGACTTCTCGTTTTGTGAGGAAAATATATGTAAAGAATTCATAGAATTAATATGTTGACAAATATTTGGACACTGTCACAAAGTATAGAATATTGTGTTGCCTAGCTCATTCTTATTAACCAAAATCAGAAATCACTTCATCAATGATAAGAGCATGACAACTGACTTTATTGGCATTTAATTTCTAGTAACAAATCAATCGGTTTCGCAAGACTTCTTATTCCCTCCATTTCTTTTTATATTTCATTAGTTGGTCCATAATATATTGCATTTCATAAAATTAATGTATAAATTACAATATTCTTCCTATTTTACCCTTATAAGTTATTAGTTTTGAAAATATGCATTTGAACAACATAGAAAACTAAGTGAATAATTTATTTTGATTGGTCAAATTAATTCATATTCATTTATTAAAAAGTTGAGTTAGAAAAATTAATAAGGGTAGAATATAAATTTACTTAACTTCTTAATGCACATGAAATAAAAAATAATAAATAATATCATATAAATAGGAATGAAGAATTTTTTAATTCCCTCATGATGTAAACAATATTTATTTTTCCCACGTCATTTAAGACCACCGAGAAGTACTTGTCTATACTTGTGTAGATCGTAGATATTATATTCCTTCGTTTTGAAATATTTTTCATATTGTTATCCCCAAGAATGAAACTGTATGAATTTTAATTAATATTTAAAATATTGAGCTAAACTACTTCAATGTAACTTTTGAAATTAATTAATTTAAATCTCAAAAAGTGAAATATAACTAATATTTTGTGATGGGGAAGTAATAATTTAAATGGTGTTATAACCTTTTGAAATCGGTTAAATCACATCCAGTACGTAGAAAATTTTATAATGTGACACTGAATAGATTTAATTATTGTTGATTAATGGCATGAGTTACAACAAAGCACGCCGCTTAAACAAGTTTCTCGCTTACCAATTATTATTATGGTCGCCGTAATCACATGCAGTGTAATTTCTACTTTCTACTGCTAATCTTTTAATTAGTTTTATGCA